AGTCTTGTAAGTACCATTTGTTTACTAAATGCAACAAAGTGAGAAGTAGTTTTGTAAGTATCATTTGTTTACTAATTGCAACAGAGTGAGAAGTAGTTTTGTAAGTACCATTTGTATACTAAATGCAACAGAGTGAGAAGTAGTCTTGTAAGTACCATTTGTATACTAATTGCAACAGAGTGAGAAGTAGTTTTGTAAGTACCATTTGTATACTAACTGCAACAGAGTGAGTAGTTTTGTAAGTACCATTTGTATACTAAATGCAACAGAGTGAGACGTAGTCTTGTAAGTACCATTTGTATTCTAATTGCGACAGAGTGAGAAGTAGTTTTGTAAGTACCATTTGTATACTAATTACAACAAACTGAGAAGTAGTTTTGTAAGTACCATTTGTATACTAATTACAAAAGAGTGAGAAATAGTTTTGTAAGTACCATTTGTATACTAATTGCAACAGAGTGAGAAATAGTTTTGTAAGTACCATTTGTTACTAATTGCAACAAAACACATTATTCCCTAGTTTGTGTTTCTATACAGATCAATATCTTAGATTGGGGTGGGGGCGGTGCAGGGTAAACCAACTTAACAAAAATTATTACACATATATTTAACCCATTAACATCTTGGTAACACCATATGAAAGTGTCCTGGAGATGTGACCTTCCAGAACAGTGTCGAATTAAACTAACATTCAGTCACACGTGGCCTTAAGTACTTCGTCAAAGTAGTCTTAAATAGAATGTTATTTGACTAAGTCCAAATTACAACTAGTAATTTGGTTGTTAGGGCGCAGTCTGTGAGTCGCGGGTGCGAGTCCCCGTTTCCGAATATGTTCACCTTTTCAGCCTTGGGGCGCTATAATGTGTCGCTCAATCCCACTATTCGTTGTTAAAAGAGTAGCCCAAGAGTTGGCGGTGGGCGGTGTTGACTAACTGCATTCCCTCTAGTTTAACACTGCTAAATTAGGGACGGCTAGAGCAGATAGCCCTCGTGCAGGTATTCAAAACAAACAAACCAAATTTCACTTATTATACTACCCGTCCCAAAGGGGGAAAACCCCAGTAGGTCTTTGACCATTTACTCCCTCTATAATTAAAATTCTACATAACACGTGTGCGACAAAGTAACTTTAAGTAACACGCTCCTTACCATTAATAAATAAAACACTGATTTATTCTTAAATATACACAAGGGATGAAACGTACGTCAAAGTAAGCTTTAAAGGGGTGTACACGCGCATGCGCATTCAACATTTTTCCCTGAAGAAGTGATGCTTTCCGAAAACACTCGAGTTATCCACGAGATGAATTGCACATGAAAACTTAGTATTTACTAACATACACTGGAACTTTGTTTCTAATGATACACTTAAAACATATATTTTTCTAAATACACAGAAGGCGAGCTTGTAAATATTTCAAGGTACTTTCACAGAAGCTTCAAATGTTTATATTAACTCAAACTGGAAACTAACGGTTTTACTTTCACGAGAAACTTACTGTCAAGATTCATTGTTAGAAAAACTTGACATTCAAAACCTAAATGTTATACATTCAGTTTTTATTATCAAGAATAACTTTGTTTGTTTGTAATTAAACACAGAGCTGCACAATGGGCTATCCGTGCTCTGCCCACCCCGGGTATCGAAACCCGGATTCTAGCGTTGTAAGTCCGCAGACATCCCGCCGTGCCACTTGGGGGCTCAGTATTAAAAGGCTTACTAAAAGTTTCTTCAGATAGTCCATCTTGAACTATTTTACGCAAATTAATAAGTTAGCAGTCAATGGGTTTGGAAAGTGTATCTGTTAAAATGTAATTAAAAAATCTGCATCTCTTTTTGTAGAACAAACCCTCTCATATGTGAACTGAAATTATCTCACGATTGGAACCACGCCCAGGCAGGTATTGCAAGCTTTATAGTTGAAGTGAAATGTGCAGTTTTGGTTTCCACACACTTATAAATCGATACTTCTTCAAGCTTTATTGGTAGCTTTTAAGTTCATTTTAAAAGCATCCTTTTGATGTTTCAGTCTAATAGAAATATTTGTCATTTATATGAACTGTGGCCTGATTATTAACAAAAAGAATGTGTATATAAATATAACATATATTTATATTCTCATAAATATACTTATATATATATATATACACACACATACATAATTACATGTTATCAAAACCGTTAGTTAGGGATAAATTAATGCCTTTTGTCACAAATTAAGACCAAGCTTTACAGTCTCTTTTTGTGAATTTATTAAATTTTAGAGTTTCAACAGGTGTATATGTGTGTAGGTAAACACGTGGTCAGAAATTAGGAGAAAATTCTAGTCTTAATTTTATTATTATTATTATTATAAAAATGCTATACTTAGATATTTTTGCTGATTTTTTTTGCTACAAGGTTCTCGCTCCTGTTTTATTATATTTTTACTCTAGTTTTCGTTCTTGTGTTTTTAATTATGCACAAAGCTACACAAGGGCTATCTGTGCTCTGCCCACCACGGGTATCGAAACCCGGTTTCTAGCGTTGTAAGTCCGCAGACATACCGCTGTACCACTGGGGGGGGGGGCAGTTTTCGTTCTATAAGTCGTGAAGTTATATTGTATACTATATATTAAAGTCAGTTTTAATTTGGAAAACGGCCTTTCGCGCTTTGTTGTCATGGTGATACCAACATTTAAGAAAATATTCTGGCTCTATCTCTGTTATTTTAATAACAATACACTTGTAGCTTCTAATTAAACTGGCTACAGCATTATGGGAAACCAATAATTAACTAACAGCGGATAAATACTTGAGACTTTGGGGGAGGGGGTTCTAACGCAGTGTACTATGTAATCAATCTTCAGTGTACTTCTGAAGAGATCTTGTTAAAGATTCTGTAAACTAAGATAAAAAAACAGTTTATATTCTACTCAAACAGAGCATAATCATTAAGTAAAACATGTTATAGAGAACTAATAAAAACACAAAATGTCCGTCGTCATGGAAACATAGAAGTGGAAATATGTACTAATAAAAACACAAAATGTCTGCCGTCGTGGAAACATGTACTAATAAAAACACAAAATGTGTGTCGTCATGGAAACATAGAAGTGGATATGTGTACTAATAAAAACACAAAATGTCTGTCGTGGAAACATGTACTAATAAAAACACAAAATGTCTGTCGTCATGGAAACATAGAAGTGGATATGTGTACTAATAAAAACACAAAATGTATGTCGTCATGGAAACATAGAAGTGGATATGTGTACTAATAAAAACACAAAATGTCTGTCGTGGAAACATGTACTAATAAAAACACAAAATGTCTGCCGTCGTGGAAACATGTACTAATAAAAACACAAAATGTCTGTCGTCATGGAAACATAGAAGTGGATATGTGTACTAATAAAAACACAAAATGTCTGTCGTGGAAACATGTACTAATAAAAACACAAAATGTCTGTCGTCATGGAAACAGAAGTGGGAATATGTACTAATAAAAACACAAAATGTCTGTCTCGTGGAAACATAGAAGTTGATATATGTACTAATAAAAACACGAAATGTCTGTCGTCATGGAAACAGAAGTGGAAATATGTACTAATAAAAACACAAAATGTCTGTCTCGTGGAAACATAGAAGTTGATATATGTACTAATAAAAACACAAAATGTTTGTCGTCGTGGAAACATAGAAGTAGAAACATGTACTAATAAAAACACAAAATGCCTGTCGTCGTGGAAACATAGAAGTAGAAACATGTACTAATAAAAACACAAAATGTCTGTTGTCGTGGAAACATAGAAGTACAAACATGTACTAATAAAAACACAAAATGTCTGCTGTCGTGGAAACATAGAAGTACAAACATGTACTAATAAAAACACAAAATGTCTGCTGTCGTGGAAACATAGAAGTACAAACATGTACTAATAAAAACACAAAATGTCTGCAGTTGTAGAAACATATATCACCAAATCTCAAGTATTACAAGCAAAATTTCAACTCCGAAAAATTACTAACTGAGAAAGCCATTACAATCAAATAAAAGAAACAATAGAAAAACAACTTCTAATCTGCTAAAAACAAACTGTTATCATTGTCATCACTTAACACGCACAATGAAGTCAATCAATGCACAGACCGTAGTCAGTCATTAAAATCCCATTGATTTTTCTCATTTAATAATCTTAATGTTCTAAAGATAATAAAAAAAATAATTATCTTGGAATTAATTCGTTTTCTTAGAAAATGTTTATAATTCATCTCTCCAGCTGACTTGTGCATGTTACGTCTAAGGGATAAATTAGTATTAAGTAAACTACCGGAACAAAGAAACCTGTTCTACTAAGACATTTATACATAGCGTGACAGTTAAAAAAGAAGAGAAAAAAAAGTTGTCTCATTAAAACTTCAGGCAGAACAGTCAACGCGAAATACATACTAGCTTATGGTAATTTTGATAATGGCGCATTTATATATAGTTTTAGAAGCGTAGCGTATTGTATTCATATATTCTAATATAACATTATCTTAGGCCTTTCTTTAGGTGAAATAGATGTAACCTACCGGATGTCTGTTTGGATACATCTTTTCTGAAGTACCTGACGTCGCCACTGTGTATCCGTTGGGTAAGAAGGTTTCACTAAACACGATGTAGCATGTAGTTTTGTTACGAACGTGTATGGTTACACAACACCACAGGGAAGATCACAGCCCTCTCCAGCATGTCTAGGTTTAATCACTACATTCTTACAAAGAACAAAACGTGATCCCACGATCAACAACTTGCCGCTTCGAGTTCAAACTCCACTTGTGCTCGCTAGCCCTTCAATCCACTAGTGAGCTGCAGATTCAAAATGGAGAACAACCATGAACACAAAGGATCTCGAAATTTCACCACAGTTGAAAGCTCAAGTAAATGGCAGCCAGCATGTCCGTGGGGAAGAACGCCACACGACACGAGGGGTCGGACACCCTGGCGGCTTGGCTGTTACTACTACTACTACTACAGACTCACACGTAGTTCCCCATAACGCGGAGACCCAGTAGATCCACATACTAAAATATGGTACACAATGATTGGCCTTATCAACAAACATGACTCTTCTCAAACGGGGCTTGAAGCAGCCCACGTGGTTCGGCGTGGTCTGCACACACTTTTACCCAATCGAAAGTCACGAATCGAAAAATGACATAGCTAAAATGTACGTTGCTATAACAACCATGTTTAGACAGCTGTCTATCAAAGGCACGTGCTATTGTAGTTCCGCCCACATCCGAGTCTTGCCTCAGGTAATATTGAGTCAATGCGGGCCGTTTATTTCTTTTGAGGCGACTACGTATCATTCTGACGAAAACCTCTCGAAAACGGGCCGCTAGATAAAGGCCGAAAGAAAGGAAAAGTGCTGGTAGTGCAAGTTATCATCGCTATTCGAACGAAAACAAACTTTGTCCGATCTATTTACTCTTCACTGGAGGTTCGGCTACGTTGATAGCTCCCCAGAATTAATGGCGAAAACAGGCTACAGCATCACTGGACGTGTAATAACGAGAATGAGTTCCCTGAAGGCGACGGATGATATCAACATGCTACTTCAGCATTCACAATTGAGTAATCATGCGCATTAAAAGCTGTCGTTTATTGAAACATGATACATTTAACACACAACGGAATGAGCCACTTCATAAGGGTGGGGGTGGGGGGAGTCTCTTTGTTAAGTAGTTTTTGTATTGTATCTAATTTGATTCTTTTGTTTCCATGTTCATAAATTATAAAGACCTGTATCTGTGGTGGGAAACACAGTTTAGCAACCAGCAACCAACATTTGGAGAGTAGTGGAAAATAAAAACAACTTAATAACTAGCAACCAACATTTAGAGCGTAGTGGAAAACAATAACTTAGCAGCTAATAACCAACATTTGGAGAGTAGTGGAAAACAAAAACAACTTAGCAGCTAGCAATCAACATTTAGAGCGTAGTGGAAACAATAAGTTAGCAGCTAGCAACCAACATTTAGAGAGTAGTGGAAAACAACAACATCTTAATAGTCAGCAATCAACATTTAGAGCGTAGTGGAAAACAATAACTTAGCAGCTAGCAACCAACATTTAGAGCGTAGTGGAAAACAACAACTTAATCGTCAGCAATCAACATTTAGAGCGTAGTGGAAAACAATAACTTAGCAGCTAGCAACCAAGATTTAGAGAATAGTGAGAAACAACAACTTAGCAGCTAGCAACCAACATTTAGAGCGGGCTAGCGCAGATAGCCCTCGTGTGGCTTTGCGCAAAATTCAAAACAATTCACAGTTCGTCAATAGTTGGTGGTTTGTTACCCAATACGCACGTTTGTTATTAAAATTTAACGCAATCAAAATATGGAAAAAGTTCAACATTTAGGTGGACGGTCTCAAACCGTTCATTATAGAGGTGATATGGGTTTAAACTTAATGCGCTGAAAATTCGTCTATACGGGTGGCCTTGAGCTCGTATGAGGTATTAAAACAATGTATCGATGGACTATTTACATTCGAACTAAGTAATCACACTATCTGTAAGTAACGAAAGGGTGTAACACTCTGCTGGTTCGCTGGTCTTCTTTTGAGGTTTGGAATGGAATGACCATGAGAAATATATATATATACATTGAAATAACTGCATTAATATTCGTTTCAGAAAACTTCTAGTCATTTGCATTCAATTGATACAATACAGTATAAACCACTGACTGACCTTCACTACTGAGTTCTTCAACAGAGTGTAAAACAAAAGATCTAAACAATAAATCGTGACTATAGAACTTATTATTTGAGTTCCTCTATTTAGCTTATAGTTATTATACATACAGTAGCACTTTTATTCAGGTAAACCAGTTGTATTTTATCATAGTGTTCTGTATTCTAAATGTTTCTAAGTTATTCTTATTCTTTCACACTACGCTCTAAATGTTGATTGCTGGCTATTAAGTTGTTGTTGTTTTTCCACTGATAGGGAGCTCGACTCGCAATTTGTGGGTCACGGGTTTGAATCCCCCCCCCCCAAAATATGATCGCCCTTTTAGCCATAAAGGGGTTATAATGTGCGGTCAATCCCACTATTCTTTAGTAATAAAATATCCTAATAGATGGCAGTGGGTAGTAATGACTATCTGACTTCCCTCTAGTCTTACTTACACTGCTAAATTAGGGACCCACCTGGCCATGTCCACGAATGTGATCACGATACTGTATCAAGAAGTTCAGTTGTCATCAGTTCAAATAGATGGATGAAGCTGAACACTTCTCAACAGAATCATCTAAAGACGCGATAACTGTCTTTAATAGTTAGAATGTTTAAAGCAGACTGTCATGACAACAATAATTACTAACACATGTTAGTAGAAATAGCTAACACGTGTAAAACATGATAATGATAAATGTGGCATGAATTAAGCACATCTAAAGCACATCTAGAAGATATCAATTGGCATCACATGGCAGCAGATGTTTATAAGGGATGTAGTAACTATATCAATTAACATTTGCTCATTAGGAGAGTGATTATAGTAATTAACGCGCACAAAGAAAAGTATTAGGGATAATGACTTGACAATTACAACGTGGTGTAAAGAGGGACATTGTGGTAGCTAAAATAGCACGTGTAATACGACGTTAGGACAGCTAGAATGGCTTAACAATTAATTACAACGTGATGTAAATATGGGCACTGTAGCAGCAATAACAGCATGTGTAAAGTACGACCTTAGGACAGCTAGAATGGCTTAACAATTAATTACAACGTGATGTAAAGATGGACATTGTGGCAGCTATAATAGCATGTGTAAAGTACGACCTTAGGACAGCTAGAATGGCTTAACAATTAATTACAACGTGATGTAAAGATGGACATTGTGGCAGCTATAATAGCATGTGTAAAGTACGACCTTAGGACAGCTAGAATGGCTCAACAATTACAAAGTGATGTAAAGATGGACACTGTGGCAGCTATAATAGCATGTGTAAAGTACGACTGTAGGACAGCTAGAATGGCTTAACAATTAATTACAACGTGATGTAAAGATGGACATTGTGGCAGCTATAATAGCATGTGTAAAGAACGACCTTAGGACAGCTAGAATGGCTTAACAATTACAATAAGATGTAAAGAGAGACACAGTGGCAGCTATAATAACTGAAATAATTAACAAGAGAAAAGTTCAACATTATAAAAATGATAAACGCGTATAAAGCACGAGAGTATGATAGCTTTCACGACAGTAGGAATTACCATATACAAAGCAGGAGGTTATGAGGGCAGTTTGTCAGGTCATTACAACAGATGTAACGACTATAATAAGTAAAACTATAATGACTGCAGTAATTAGCACATTGAGAGTGGTGACCAAACAACAATTATAATAGTCGGAATAATTGGCACATATAAAATAGGAAGTTATGGCAACAACGACCAAATAGGGCATTAAGTAACTTAAAGTGATTACAGTAATTACTGTATGACGATTGTTGCAACTAAAATGATTATAGTAGCTAACCCTTGTACAACAAGATTTATGACGACTGATATGATAATTGTAATAACAGAAACGCGTAAAGTACGATGTTATAACGACTCTATTAACAACACGTGCAATGAATGCAGTAATCAACATATATAAATAATGACTCTAATAATTAACGCTGTAATACTCAATATGTTTAAAGATGTATTATAAGGACAGCTTCAGTGAATTTAATAAATACTGAGGGTTGAGAACGTTATATTAAAACAATTTTGGAACTTCACCACGTCTTTACAATCTATGTCGCCACGTCCCGTCATGCCCTATCTGACGACCGTTCTTCTATAAATAGCCCTGCAGCACAGTTTCCATTGCAAAATGTTCCATTTTGTCGTCATGTCCAAGGTGCGCCAAACCTCCCTGCAGGCGTTCCACAATCCAACTAGTGAACGTGGACGACGACTTCCAAGCGTCCATTTCAACAGTCCGATCGCATCAAAGTCCTTAAACCCTGCGTCCGGTGACTTGACCGGCATGCCCTCGTATGGAATAGCATGAATATCCGTTTCATTCCTCGGCTGCTTGAGGTATGCAACAGTTAAATCGGAGGTGTGATTGGAAGCCTTATATTTGTGAATGCATACACTATTGGCCTTTTCTTTTTGCAGATGGAGATCCTTCCTCATTACGTTTCGAATTGTTGCTTGGGGCACGTGAATGGCTTTTGCCACTCACCTTTCTTGGTGATTCTGGTGATCCAAGTCGGTTCCATTCCCTGGTTTTCCGATACCATTAAGTATGAGGGATATCTCTAAATTCTTAATCTTCTATCTGAACATATTTTTATGATCTCAGAGTAAGAATATTTTGCGTCGGAAAGGGTTATTACACGTCGTTCCGAAAGTTGTCAGTTTTCGATTGCATCACACTACCTACGTAACGATAAACAGGATTAAAGTGTAGTTCTGAAACACGCCATTCTACTGATATTTTAGATCTTATTAGTATAACGTACTCGGTACTCTGTAACCTATCTCTATACTCCCGGATAAATTATGTTTCAAGGTCCAAGATTTTTTTTTACCATTTCTGTGCTGCCTCAATTCGAAAATATTGCGCTAATATGCAGAAAACAACAAACAAACAATAAAAATCACGGCAGTGATGCTTTCGAAACTAAAAAACTGGCTGGATTATATGTAAAATCACCAATGGTAAATTTGAGATTTTGTCTCAAGATTTTTGGGTATAGAAAATAAAACTTCGACATGTTGTTCGAGATAAACTGTTCTGTAGTTTTCTTTCGACAGTCTTCAAGCCGCCCTGTATTATTTCAAGCTGTATTGTGTAGATAGTTATAGCAGCTATTCTTACATTTCAAGCAGTTAGAAGATACTTAAAGCTAACATTGAAATAAATGTTCTTTATTTATTGTATTTCGGTGTTTATTTCCAACATCTAAAAATAAACACCGAAATAAATGTGTAGCTACTTCACGGTTAATAGCAGAGAGCTTAGGACTGACAAGAAACTCGAAAATCATACTTAAATATAAAAACAGCATAGCGACAGCTCGTTACTTTCAAAAATCTGTTATCTCCTAATTAATCACGTAAAAGCATAGCTGATTGGCCAACTTCAAACAGATCGAGTTTGTTTTTGTTTTTCTTGACTTTTATAAAATAAATAACAAATTTGTTGAGTCACTGAACAAATGTTACAGTTTTGTTAAAACACAAACGTGTCTCGTGTGAATCTAAACATAGCATGTAGCTGTAAAATAAAGCAATCAATGTGGCTCGTCTGTGAAGCGACCATTTAAGTAAACGTTACCTCTTTACACGTGTAGTGGTAATTCAGGGCGAAATAGAGAAACAGTTTTACGACGATTGAATCTTTTTTTATATTTACGTTTTTAATGAAAAAGACTCGAGTGTGCACCTAGAATGTGAAATTATTTTTTCCCTCTTGTTTGTACCCCCCCCCCCCAGTGGCACAGCGTTATGTCTGCGGATTTACAACGC